GGAAAAAGCTAAAAAATGTTGAAATCCTTTTACTCAATTTATGAGTTGAGTGGGTAGCAGGCAAGGGACAGGAGGAGAAAAGAAAATAGGACTTTCTTGTGATGTTCCACTTATAAAAGTCAGTGGGTATTTTTACAGGTACCAGCTAGTCCTTCCTGAAAATCCTCTAATGGGGACAGGCTGTGAAATGGCAATAGGAAAGATAAACGCTTTTCTGGAGCGTAATTTTAGTGCAGCGTGGAAAATGTGAAGAGAAAAAAAATGAAAGATCGAATGGAAAATCCATGCACAGGCCAACCCACACCACAGAAGTGTTGAGGACCATGTGTCCTAATTAGCTCCTACACCAGACAGAGGCCTCTCTGGGTGGATGCCCCCTCCCCTTGTGGGGCGCAGCCTGTGGGGGGACAGCATTCATTTATACTCATACCCTGGGAGTGCCTATCATTTGGGGGGAGTTGAAGAATTGGAAAATATAAAAAGCCCAAACCACGAAGTCATGACCCTTTCCCCTTATTCAACACTGTAAGTACAGTTTTCTTTGATGGGTGCTTTGATAGTTCTGAAAGCAGCGTTCAGAATGCAGGCGCTGGGCTGGGGGGCCGCTTTCAATGTCTGATCCTTCTCCAGCTCAGCTTCTCTTTTTACGCTAGTCAAGTCTTTCATAATAGTGGCACAGGGCACAGGGATCTCAGCACGTCGGGCTCCTCCTAGGTTTTTTTCCTCAGAAACGATCCCCATTTAGTCCTCTTCTGAAGTGCAGAATTTTCCATGTTCCTCATGGCAAGCTCTAGTGTTTCCAGTTGCCCTGACTTGTCATCTCCAGTCACCACCCAGCTGCGGGCCTCCAAGGGGAATGTGTTGTCATGAGATAAACATTGTTAGTAGGTGGAAATTCAGAATTTTCTCCCCTCTCCTTTGCTCACACGGCTGCTTTTCTCTCCATATTGGTTTCTAAGTCAGAGACTCTGAATTGCTAGAATATTCTGAAGATCAGTTGAGTGCTCTATGGTTGGACCTGACTAACATATCAAAGAGAAATGTGGGCAACTGTAAGTTTCCTTCTGGGACGGACTCCCTGGGTGATAGGACCCTGTTCCCATAATGGTGGCCGCAAACAAGATTTGGAGCTTTGCCACTTTGAGCACTGAGGTATTTCCCTTCTAATAAAAAAGAGCAGTTTACACAAGCAGTCAGTAAGTTCTAATAGTTAGCTTTTAAAATACTGAAGCAATAGGATCTAGAGGAGTAATTTCATATTTTATTGAAAATAGGAGATAACCCAACAGGACTGGGCATATCAAAATACCAAAATAGAAAGAAATTCAGTGTACTGAAAGTCAGATGCCACCAGTATTAATATTTTTCTCATCTTAAGCCACCTGTGGTAAAATAGCCCAAAGTCGCACTTTAAGGGAGATTGTCCAGGTAATGACTGGGAATGTTTGCTCCTCTTGCCTTTCAAACCCAGCCTAAGGGTTTGCTCATTCCTTTAGTTTTAATTGTTGTCCTTTGAAGGGTTTGATCAGTTCTGGTTACCATTAGAATTAAGTTGGGGGAGTGGTATTTTTTCACTTTGGCTATAATTTAAAAAGGCAGAAGGAGGTCAAGGAAGTGCAGACCAGTTTACTATCTGAGCTCTTGTTGCTAAGAGCCTGGCTTATAAGCCATGAGTAGAGATGGTTACTTTTTTTTTTTAAAGATTTATTTATTTATGCATACAAGAACTGGGGTACAGGCCAGAAGTATGTGTGTGTGTGGGGGAGGGGTAAGAAGATTCACCAGAGACAGAGTGGGGAACAGAACATGCAGATCGACTGAAATACACTGCTGAGGGGAGCAGCAGGCGAGTCAGGAGAGGTCTGCTGCGCCATGTGGGCAGCAACCTGGCCGACTGGGAATCAAACTTGTCTTGCAGTGGCTGTGGACAGCTTCATAGGTTGCGTCTTAAGCCCTTGCACCACCAGGGACGCCCAATGATTACTTTTGAAATCATGAACTCAGATAAGTTTTCCAAGGGATGAGCCCATTCTTGGTCAGATCTTATTCTTGTGTATCTGACTTAGGATGCCCAGAGGTGCCAGGGTATGCCCAGGATCGTGCCTTAGACCTGGGAAAATTGAGATGGTTGGTCACCCACTTGGGATTAAAGTTTGAATAAATCAAAACAATGAGATAACCAGAGAGACACACTTGCTATCTGCTTTCAGTTTTCTTTTTATATGTGGGATGGACTCTGTCTAGGGGCATTATTTGGGGCCCCATGTTATTGCTAAGACCTAGTACTCCCACCCACCCATGCCCCAGGGCTATCCCCTGCATCCTCTGTTGACAAGAGTCAGGCTCCTACTTAATGAGCACACAAAAGCACATATCCCCATCAGAAGAGGGGGTGTCACATTACCTACAACCGTCTTTTAGTTGCCAAAATGCTGGGCATAGACTTTTAAAAACTATAAGTGGAGAAATTAAATTGTTGTACATGTGTGACTTTATCTTACTTAAAATCAGTTCACCCATTTCTTGTGATAAATAGTATAGATGCTATGACCTTGAAAGGTTTTGGAGCTATTCAGACTCCAAGCAGACACTGCAATCTTCCTGGGTGAAACTATTTCCAGGCCGATTAGTTTCTTGATAAATTGTGAAAACATGGCACGACCAATGACCTCATCACCAAAACAAAATCATGAAGTCCTCTTGCCATTGACCTTGGGATGGGGTTGGGGTTGGGGAGGTCTTCTCTCAAGGTGGTATGTATTATTTTAAGTTCATTTAAAGATAATAAAAATATGCTTTAAAATATTAGGCTACCATTGCTTCATTGATCAAAGGAGATAGGAGTGGTTTTCAATGTTTAATCTGCTTTATACCATGTGGGTATTGTGGGTCTGCTCAGGCCAGTGATTTGTGTCCTCAGTCAACACTCCAGACACAGAAAGGGTCTGATGCCCAAAAAGAACAACAAAGTCCTCAAAAGTGGAGTGAATCTGACACCAAAACAGACTGTAGTCACGATAAGACAAAATTCATTAAGCCAGACATGTTTGAAATATGGGAAATCCCTATGGAAATTGATCAAGAGAAATTAGACAAAAGCATTCAGCGTTTGTATTTTAAAATCAAAAGTCAAGTTTGTGTGGAGACTTGGGACATAGTGGAAAGAATAGGTCACAATTTTGGATAATACCCACTAGAACTGCAAAATAATGTTAAAAAGTTAGGATTATTTGGATAAAGGAATGAACAAATATTAAGCTTCTGAAAAATTTGGGGGGACAAGTTTATTACTATTTTAATTCTGTGAGCTCTTTTATTTATTTTTTATTTTTTTCCTATGAGCTCTTTTTTTTTTTTAAGATTTATTTATTTATTTATTTATTTATTTATTTATACAAGCACTAGGTACAGTCAGAAGCGCAGGAGGGTGAGAGAATTCACCACAGACAGAGTGGAGAGCAGAACAGGCAGGCCGACGAAATACACTGCTGAGGGGAGCTGGGGCGGCAGGCCCATGTGGCACCCTCCTCAGGTGGCCAGGGAGCAGCCGGGGAGCAGCCGGGGAGCAGCCGGGGATCGAACCAGCGCTGCAGAGGCTGCGGGCAGCTTCACAACCCAGCGCTCAACCGCTGTGCCACTGGGGAGGCCCCCTATGAGCTCTTTTAAGAAAGGTCCAGTTAGGTTTTTCCTGCTTTCCTCCCTCCAAATCATTACAAAAGTTATTCACTTGTCAATTGTTTTTGTAAGTAAGGTTTTGGTTAAAATTTTAAATAACCTTTAAGAAACAATTTTGCTTGAAGATGTAGTGAAAACTTCGATGACACTCATATTTGTGCCACTTCTGGGTTCAGCAGTACCTGACTCCAGGCAGACTCCAAGGTGATTCTCACTTTTATGTTCTACATCCTGCAGCTAACTTTATTTTCATTTCTGGGCCATAGCATTTATTCTTAAAATGAACTGTTTGACATTGCTCTATAGTCATCAGTTGCTTCTGTAGAAGACACATTTGAGATTAACTTTATAAGAAGTATCTGAATTTTAAAATGAAATTTAATTTTTCATTTTCATTTATATACACTCTTTTTCTTTCTATCTAATTTACAAGTATGGAGTTGGGAGGAAAGGTAAGGTGGAGATGGTTACTTGGGAATCCCCAGCATGGATGCTGTCATCTGGGGGTGAGTGTGGATGGAGAAGGTAGGAGTGGTCTGAGAATCTCAGCCTTCTGCCTGTGCCCATGTTTCCAGCAGTGGCCTTTGCCCCAGCTGCCCAATAGCAACACCTTCAGATATTCCAAAATACATGGTGGTATCTGGACCACCTCCCTCTGCAGGGCTCCTGGCTCAGTTATCTGGTGTAGAATCTAGGTTTCAGAATTCTGTAGACACTTTCCAGAGAGTCCTAACATGCAGGTGGGAGAACTGCTGTCTCGGAAGTTAGGAAGAAGGAAGCCCTCCAACTGAGAGAGAGGAGAAGAAACAAAGAAGGCTGGTGTCTTAGAAACTAAATGCAGAACACTTTCAGGAAAGATGTATTGCTCAGCAGACACACAAATAAGACGAAAACTAACCATTTTTGTCAATGTGAAGGTCATTGTTGACCTTGGCAAGGGCTGCTCTGGAGTGGTGGAGATTCGTGAGAGCATGGGAAGGGAGAATCAGATAATTCTGTAGAGAAGCTTTGTTATAAAAGGGCAAAGAAACATGAAGAGGTACTCGGAAGTGCTTTGAAGTTAAGGACGTTTTCTTTTTTTGCTTGAAGATGGCAAAAATCACAGCATGTTTGTATACCGGTGGGAATGGTTGAATAGAGAGGGGGACGTAAAGTTATAGGAAATGCTGGGGGCCTTAGAGAGGAGGAATAGCAGCTCCTCTGTTGAAATAGGAAGGAAGAGAGCAGAGCAGTTGGGTTGGTGGTAGGGAAAGCTCATAATTCTCATAATGGTAGGAAAACCTCATAATGCGAGACCGCTGGCTGGGGGCACAGAGGAGGTGGAGGAGGGCAGGTGGACAAGGGCAGGAGGAATCAGAGTATGGAAAGAGAACATTGAGAGATGAGAGACGGGAGATGTAGCATTGAAGGACAGCTTTAAGGACTCTTTGTCATGCGTACTCCTGGATTTAAGTGAGAACAGTAAGCACACTTGAGAGATTTTTCTTCCATATGTCCCACTTCTGTTGGTATAAATATGGAGGAGGCAGAGAGTTGAATTTAACCAGGGTTGGGCTTTTTTTTATAGGTGAGTGTGAAGAAGGGCAAAAGAAGATGAGAACTTACACAAGGCAATATGTAAAATAAGAGGCATTAGAATCTAAACTGTAGAAGGAAGGATGTGAGTATCTGAGGCAGATGATGGACAAAGGAAACGTGACAGGAGCAGTGGATTTGCCAGCTCAGTGAGGCAGAAGTATTATGGGAATGAGGCCTGACGGGAGGTGATAGGTGCTTTGCACGTATAGGATGTGGTGTTTGCAAAGTGAGATGCTTAAAATTAAGATCATGGAAGCAGCACAGTGACTTACACTAACATTCTAAGAGAGGTGTTCCTGGGAGTTAACAGCTGACCTGGCCTGGAAGACAAGTTTCACTGGAGGTGAGAAGATTAAGTAAATGATAAGACAAAGCAGTGTAGGAATTGTTTCCCTACATAGGGGGGGCCCCTGAGAATTATGACAAGAGGACTGGAAAAGAGGCAGATGGTTATCCAAGAGTTTATATCTTCAAGGAGTAAGAGGGCATGAATGGAAGGCTACAGAGGAAGGTGCACCGTGAGGCAGGAGGGGTCACCGTAGTCTGGAAGCAGCACTGAGGAGGAAAAACTTAACGCCACCCAGGTCCCAGCTCAGCAGGGCAAGAGGTGAGAGAAAGATGACCATGCATGAAGAAGGCCACATTTATTTATTTATTTATTTAGATTTATTTATGCATACAAGAACTGGGGTACAGGCCAGAGGTGTGGGGGTGAGAGGATTCACCAGAGACAGAGTGTGGAAGCAGAACAGGTGGGTTGACTGAAACACAATGCTGAGGGGAGCAGCAGGCGAGACAGGAGAGGTCTGCTGTGCCATGTGGGTAGCTCCCTGGCCAGCTGGGGATTGAACTTATGCTGCAGAGGCTGCAGGTAGCTTCACAGTGCTGTGCTTAATCTCTTGCACCACTAGGGAGGCCCAAGAAGGCCACATTTAGAGGAGAATTAGAGATACAGAGTTTTGCTATGGCTGGATCAGGAGTTTCAGAAGGCAGAGTGGAAGTATTTGTGGAGCCCAGGGAGGGTGAGACAGTGGGTTGGAGTAGGAGGTGCACAGGTGTGTATGATGACAAGTGTCCAGGTGATTAGGAATGACCTTGGCCTTGTGGTCAATGAGAAAAATAGTGTTTGGGGTATGGCAGAATCAGTTCTGACATTTCTCAATGGTAACCTGGTGTTGAATTCTAGTTAGAGCCTGTTTCTGGAATTGCTGTCTTAGACTGTGGTCCTGAAGCAGCGACATTTAGGGAGAGAGGGTTTTTCAAGCCCACGCAGAACTCTTCGGCAATTCTGTCTAGCTAAGGGTGGTGTCATGATCAGGAAAGACTTAATATTACCTTAAAGCTCTATGGTGCTTTTGGAAAGATTTTTGATATTTTCCTTAAGATAAATTTTCAGAGGTAGAATTATGAAGTCAAGGATTTTTGATATTGTTGTGGCTAGTGTAGTACACTCCGCAATGTACACCCCACTTCAGGTAATTAACCTAAGCCAGTTGAATCAACTGCACAATTCATGCCAATGACTGGTTTAGGATTAGACAAGAGACCTAATCTTAGCTAGTAGATATGAGAGAAGTCAAAGGCATGGGGGGACAGGGGAGCTGTCTTGAGGGACACTTCTGGGAAAAATCCCGATATCCTTGAAAGCCATTAAGAAATAGATTTCTTTTCTTTCTCTGGATGCTTTTGTGTGTGAGTCTTGGCACAGGCTCAGCCATCTTATCTCCAGCCTGAGGTCGATGCCAGTGCACAGAGCAGATCCAGTGCAGAGGAATGTGGAGTCCTGACATCTTACCCCCAGAACACGTGCTATCTTTTGACTTCTTGTTATGCGAGATAATACATTTCCTTATTGTTAGAGCTACTTTTAGTTGTGATTTCCTATTACCGACAGCTGAAAATATCTTACTGATACCAGTAAGTACTGAAAGATTGCTCTTTGGGAAGCTGTGTAGTCTCTACACCCACACCTTAAAAATAGAATGTTACAATATATCCAACTGTCATTTGTAATGAGTATGGAAGAGAACACATATTTTTGTCAGCGTGAGTCTGATCAACTTTCTGGGTGGTTATGGACTGAATGTTTTTATTCCTTCCTCTCTCCTTTTCATAGGTTGACATTCGAACCCCCAATGTGATGGTATTTGAGGGGTGATTTGATGATGAGAGTGGAGCCCTCGTGAATGGGATCAGTGTCCTTATGAAAGACAGCCCAGGCAGCTTTCTCATCTCTTCACCACACAAGGGTCAGGGAGGAGAATGCTGTCTGTAAACCAAGAAATGGGCCCTCACCAGGCCCCTGAATCTGTACCACATTGCCCTTGAACTCCCCACCTCCGGACTGAGAAATAAATATTGTTGAAGCCACTCAGTGCAGCATCCAGCCTGACTGGATGGCAGCCCCAACTGACTAAGACCAAGGTCTTGCATTTATCAGAGGCCCAAAAAGAACTTGCTGGATGAATGTGTTTGCTGCAGTGGATACAGCCACCAAAGACAGACAGTACTGACATTTCTCAATGGTAACCTGACTTTGAATTCTAGTTAGAGCCTGTTTCTGGAATTGCTGACTTAGACTGTGGTCATGAAGCAGGGACTTTTAGGGAGAGAGGGTTTTCCCAGCCCACGCAGAGCTCTTTGGCAATTCTGTCTAGCTAAGGGTGGTGTCATGATCAGAAAAGACTTAATATTACCTTAGTGCTCTATGCAGTGGATACGGAGAAGGTTTTCCCTGTGACCTCTGCTGTCAGGGTGGAGGCAGGATGTGTGACGGCTCAAGTGGCGAAGGCAAGGCCACCCTTTTTCATCTCTTGAATCTTTTTGCTCCTTGCTATACCTTTGTAATGTCTTCCCTGGACTCTAGCCAAGACATGCTAACTGGGCTATACTCACGCTCCCTGCTTCCCTGCCGTCAGACAGCGCTTTACTCCCCAGCGCTCTCTCCTTGTAGTTCTAGTCCTTCCCATGAGGCCGGTCACATCCTCATAAAAATCAGGCGAGCCTATGAATCTGGTCCTCTGATGTTCCTGACATCTTGGACTCTTTGGGTTGTAAATCCTTTAGACCTTCTAGCTGGGTGAAGTTGACAATCAGTAAGATATAGTGTCTGTGAAAATATGCATCCATCATTAGCTCTTTCAAGACAGAAGTTGACAGCTGGAAGCCCGGGGCAGACTCCTCCCTGCATACATGCTTTTTAAAAAATGTTTGTAGTAAGGTGTCAGCATTAAGGAAGATTTTCCATTAACTAACCTGGATTTCTGACTTGCCCATTGGGCCAGCAAAGGCCCCTTGGCTTCCTTCCTTGCATGGTATTGACCCCTTCCTCAACAGCCTTTGTGTCACCAACTTGGTGTGTTCAACTGCAGCTGAAGGAACCCTCCAGTGCTTCCAGTTCTCTACTGTTATGTGCTACTGGTTGAGGTCTCCTTGTTTGGGGTGCTTCCGAGGCCATCAGCGCCCCTGTTTGAGGAGCAAACTGCCCTTTGGAGCCTGCGTGCCTCCTCGCATCCTGCGGTGGGTCAGCACTTGGGCACCTGGTTTCTGATTTCAGCTCAGCCTTCATTTTAGAATTCATCTCACCCTCTTGGGTGTCAAGGTTCTTATTGACAAAAATAAATGGTTTGGACATGACAAATCATCAGTGAGGTCCTTGACATAAGCACTGTGAACTGATTCTGAAATGCCTTGGAGTATTGATGTCCACTCCCTGGGGTCCATTTCTGAAGTGTGGACCCCAGTAGGAGCGATGCCTCTGCCGGGATGACAGCCTGTCCCCTTCCTGTCAAACCCTAGCACCAGTCAATGACTTGGCAGTGAAGGGCATTTCTGAAATACTGGACAAGCTGGCTTGGCAGTGGCTCTGTGTAAGTGTAAAATGCACACTCAACACTTGATACTTTTCATTAAGATTAAAGAAGGCTCAAGTGCAAGTGACAAAGTACGTTGATATACGATTATCCTTCTAACACTGTGCTTTTTTGTCTTCAGAAGAATGTGACAGTCGTGGCTCTAACCTGACATGCAGGCAACAAAGCTCCCTGACTATATTTAATAAGAAAATTTAATAACCCCTTTATTGTGTATTTTTGCTGCAGCCTGGGATTAACCATTAACAAATGAAGGTTTAGTTGCCACACAGTCTCAAAAATGTTCTCCCTGTGATGAATGTGTCTAAGTCTGTGTGTATTCGAGGATGCTGGGGACTGGGAGAGTCCCACTGTGGCTGGAGCTAGCTGAGCTAAGCCCGCACCACTGAAGAAGTCACGATGCTGAAATCCCAGGAGTGACTTCAAGCCCAGAGTTCCACATCATCCTCTTCCACTAAAACCCATTTTTCCAGATATTAAGTGCTGAATACATCTAAACAGCAGAACAGTTCCCCAAAGATTTCTTTATAAATGGTCATCTACTTAAAATACAGGTCTACTGGGGGGGTCACAGCAATTGAGGGGGAGAGGGGTGACTGAGTAGCTGGTGTCAGGGAAATGAATCTACATATTATAGACAGGGGAAAATGAGCAAAATGGTCCCTATTTCAGGTTGTGAATATCTCATAAGTGTTAGGAAACATTTATGTTTCCTATTTATTTATTTGTTAACAGCTGCAGATGTGCAAGCTAGAAGAGAATTTATTATAGAAGAGAATTTAAAAGAATTTTTAAAAAACCTGTAGAAAGAAAAGAGAATGCTGCAAGATTTTTCCAAATTGCTGTTGCATGTCTTTTCCCTCTGGTCTTATCAGATGCTATTACAACAAACCCTCCTACATGATTTTGCCATACTGCTCCCAGTAGATCAATAGAAATTTTGATTTACTATCATTTTTATCATGGCTTTGAAGATCAGTTAAGGAAATGAATGTGTAATGCAAATTTGTATTTTTGAGGTTAAAATAGATAAATATAAAGTTTGAGTTATGCTTAGTCTCTAATATTTTTTTTTTCATTTTTGGGTAAGCCTAGAGTTTTATGATTGACACAAAATGACAGCAAGTGCTTGCTACAAGTTTCAGTGTATCTGCATGTAGATGATATATTTTTATGAAATAAAAATGTTTTCTGACATATATGTATTTAACACTTAGTTGTTCTACCAAAACCTTCTCTCTCTTATGATATACTGGATCTCTTGTGTTAAATTTTCTCTTTGGTGCCATTGTATCTGTGCGAAATCAAGGTCTTTGGCTGCCAGATATACTTCTAATTGACAGCAGATGCAACCCTGGACATGCTGGGTAAATTATTGTTGATGGGGGGGTGTGTTCCTCTGGATTCTGCACCCAGATACCTTTATTCTGCTTCCCAGGGAGGTGGCTGGTGAGTCTTCAGAGGGACCAGCACACAGATCTGTAGGTGCAGTCAACATGGCCCAGGGCTCCCTATTTTACCAGCGAGGCAGACAGCTGGGAAAGAGCATCTAGTCCAGGAGGAAGCTGCACCTGTGAGTCTGCTCTTGTCACATAAGCCAAGACACTGTTGCTGAGACTGGGCAAGCCCTGAAGCAGAGTCCCCCTTATCTTCCAGAGTTCATTCCTCGCATCACCAACTAGGGAAATCTGCTGCTCTACTTTCACATGA